TTCCATGTGTAAATGTCGTATATGGCAAATAAATATTGTATTGTATATTGTATTGTATTTACAAAGGGTAGTCTGGGCTAATTTACATAGCTTCAATGTGATCAACAAACAACAAGGAAAGGTATACTTTCCCATCAGCTGTGTGCAGATGTATATAAATATAAATATACAAGTTCATCCCTACAGGTATGTTTCGTTGTTGCCCACTCATCAGGTTAATATATACATTGCTCTACTCCTATGTATTGAGCACTATTTTGCAAAAGTCAAAATTTTACACTTTATAAATATAAATATATACGTTGCAAAAGGGGAAAAAAACAGAGAGACTATACTTTCATCCCTACTAGCCTGTTTCGTGATCGCTCACTCATCAGGGGATTTTAAATCATAAAATAAAATAAAATCCCCTGATGAGTGAGCAATCACAAAATAGGCTTGTAGGGATGAAAGTATAGTCTCTCTGTTTTTTTTCTGCCATTGCAAAATATATATTGCGCTCTACTTCTACGTATTGAGCACTGTAAAACAGAAAATTCAATAAACAGACTTCCTAAATATAAATATAAATATATATATATATATATATATATATTGTATATAAGGATGTATGGAAGCAATTGATTGGAGAAAAACTTAATGCTAAACAAGATTTAATAACCACATGTACCAAAACATTGTGCACATAGTGGAGGACCATTTGCTTTGTGAGTTCCCCCGACTAGTGTGAAGAGATCAGTGTGGAAGTGATCAGTCTAAGACACTTCTTGGTACTATTTGTGACCCCACTGCTGCCGGACTTGTCAAAAGCTAAAGTCTTCAGTGTGTGTGACGTTAAAAACGGGTTTTGGCATGTCGAGTTAGATGAAGATTCAAGCTATCTAACAACGTTTGGCACTCCATTTGGCCGGTACCGGTGGCTGAAGATGCCATTTGGCATATCACCCGCACCGGAATATTTCCAACATCGTTTGGATCAAGCCATCGAAGGCCTTCCCGGTGTGCGCACAGTTGCAGACGACATAAGCCCAATCCAGCAAAAAGATGTGGCCTATACACAAGTTTTTACTATTCATAGAGTGGTCATCGCAGGAGGGCTCATTGTAAAACTTCACATGGGATCAGAGCTTTACATACAAGTGCAAAGTTGCATACCTTATATTCATCATCATCTGTAGTAACAACTCGAATAACTGTAGTTCTTTCTATGTGTCCCTCTGGGTCAAGCTATTGAAAGAAAAATAGTTGTGATTTTATCCTTGTAGCTTTTTATAGCAGCACAAATTTAGAATTGAAAGGATAGGAGAGTGTAGTTGGAACTGAAAAGGAAAATTTAATATGTTCCATGTCCCATGTTTGAAAAAGAAGCATTCAGTCTAAAATCAGGGGCATTTCAATAAAATGCATGCTACAATAACAAGGAAACAGGGAAATGTGCACTTACCTGGATAACATGAGGTTGAGAAAGACAATTGGCAGAGCTATGGAAAAAAAAAAAAAAAAAAAAAAAGACTGTTACTATTAATCAGCATTTTTTTCCCAACCACCCCAACCCTTAAGGTAACCTTTTAACTCCCAGAAGTGATTAACATGCAACTTCTCCCCATAGAATCCATACATTATCTTGCAAACAGGTAATAAGAATACTTATCAGGTTGAAGTTATCTTGATCTAAAACCAAATTCTCTGACTAGTTTACATGAAAATGTGTAACAGCTAGAGAGGAGAATTGACAACCAGATCTTGAGTTAAGTCAAGAACATGGGAGTGAGAGAAATAAACAGTACACATAGGTATCAACCTATAGGCAGTAAACTTAACCCCTTGGCTCCTAAGAGTGACAAGCATATAATTTCTCTCTCTGATATCACCCCTGAATCACACATTAAGGGGTCAGGAGTATAAGGAAAATGATCACCATTTAAAAAAGCTCTTGATTATTAAACAAATTCTCCTTATCAGCACCTTAGGATATGTATAGAGGAAAGGATAGAGAATCTACACATCTTTGTTTAATGCTGAATCTTAAAGTATTGAAAGTGGGCTTAACTTTCAACAGTACAGAATGATAAAAGATGAAGACTCTGCTAGATAATGAACAATGTTAATATCCAGCCCTTCGATTCTCTGGTAGAATTGCACAAAACTAATTGGGCGTGCAACAGCTGCAATTTTATATAAATCCTGCACTGGAAATAGGTTACCACTTTCATGGAAGTTTCAAAACACGGTAAGGTTCAAGGAAAATTTAATTTAAACAGGCTTCTTTTCTGTAATTGCTGCTCATCTGCAAGGATCACTGCTTTACTTGAGAGGATATACTTTGCTTGACCCCCTTAACTCCCAGATCAAATTTGTAAGTCTCCCTACTGTCAACCACACAATTCTTATTTTAGTTCAGAGAATTAAGCATTGGATCAACTAACTATCCCCAAATTGATATTTTTATTTGTTCTCATCACTTATCTGGTTGATATTGTATTGATACTGTAAGGAGAAATTCTGTCTTGGTCACTCATGGGAGTTAAAGGGTTAACTCTTAGGAAACACTACCAAGGATCACATCCAGCACTATATTCTCAAAAGCACCAAAGAGTCAAGAGAACTCATAACTTGACCTCAAGGAGACACAGACAACTTAATAATGGCTTAGCTGTGAAAATAGCGGAAATGCCTTTCTTAGAAGTAGGCCACCTCTAGGAAAAAGGAAATTAAACTGAGCATATACAAAACTCCAGTCAATAAATCTTGAAGAACTACTGTATTTTCATGAAACACAACAGCTGTTGGCGGTTTATCATACATGAAAATGCATGACATTGGAACTGAAGACAAGGCACTAATTGCCTTCCATTTAAGACCACAAAATTGCAAAAAATTCAGAAGCATATCATTAAAGCTGTGCTCAGAGTTAATCAAATAATGCTGCTTGAAATGTCTAAAAACAAATCTCAGCCAGCCTACAAAAACAGGCTGCAAAATTTAGTGGCTATTTCTTAGAATCTCTTGGCCTGTTCCATTTTCAGATGAAAAATGTGTCATTTAATCCGAGTTTTAAAGGGTGGAGCTAATAATACACAGATTGTTGGGTGGGGTAGTACCAAAGAGCAATCAAAATCACTGATCGGCTTTTAGTGAAAATTACAGAAAATTCAAATGCAGCATTAAGATTCATCGAGACTACTATTTGGAATCTTTTACTTAAAGGCAAATCAACCAGCTTGGACACCACAAAATAAATATTCAATAAAAAAAAAACTAAGTTTGATCCTCGTACAATATCTTCAATCCAAAATATTACTTTGTATAAATAACCGAAGTAAACTCTAAATATTTTTTCGTTCAACTTTACTCTTAAAATTTTACGAATGACAAGTTTTAAAAGGAAACCCTTATTAACGTTTTCCAACAATTTTCTTTTTCTTACTTTAAGGACATAGAATTCATATTTTCATACGGGTAAGATATACAAATCATATCATATGCAACGAAACATCAGGAATATGTTTAGACAAGCTACTTATGGAGAAACCATTCTAGTTCGGACATCAATTACACCAAGCCTTCCAAACCGGGAAGAAGAACAAAACAAAACAAATTTACGATTTAGTTTTATAGCAGACAAGAGAAAAATAAAATCAGGAGTAACCAGCGAATATTAAATTCTCGGGAGCGCATGTTATTTTTCTTCTCTTAAGCGAAAATAAGACGCAAAATTCCTGCTCTTGACAGGAAATGCTAAACGCTAAGTCTGCGAGTCACTTTATAAACATTGAAGTTTGAACATATACGAATTCACGTTTTCTGTTGTGATTGATTAAGATTTAACCCATCAATCGTTCGGGTTGTATCTAGAAATTATAAACCAAAACGACGAATGATATAACAGTGATTTTCGTCTTCGATGTCGTAACAGGACCAAATATTCCGCTCAAGAAAATTATGCTCACTGGTATACGGGAAGTTCTAATATCGATCGATGTACACTTATCAAGTTTACACAATTCGAATTAAGTTATAGAGCCTATGGAAAATAGGATTTCATTACTCTCTTCTACTAGGTTATATTCAAACTTGGAAATCAGGATAAATCGCAATAGACAAGTTGGGATGCCCATAAACTAATCCAAATTCCCTAGGAATTTCAAGGATTCTGCGTTTCCTGTTTGAGAAATATCCGCAAACTTCGGCAATAAAACGTGGCCTTTCGTATCGCAGGCTAAATTCTCGGAAGAAATCAGAGATATCGCAATACGCAGTGAGCCCACTAAATTGATTGAGAAGGAAATCAAGCGAGAAAACCGCTCGAAGAAAAAAAATACTAAGACTTTTCAAACCGCTGGAAAGTCTTTTAGTGCGTGCACCGACAAATACACCGGCATCGATCGCGTCGCGGGGGCAGAGAACGTATTTGAAAGCTCAGTACCTCGCACTTTGCTTTCCTGACTCATTTACGAAAGAAATTGTATCAATTTTAACATCCCTTACCCTGAAATTTGGTTGCAAGCCTCACAGGTCCCCCTTTCTTCTAAAAAAATGAAAAGCAGAAAATATTTTACTTTAGTGTAACACTCGTCACATCACAAAGCCATTGTATTCCATCCAAGCAACAGCGAGTGCGTGAACGCGAGGAAAATTTCACAACTTCTTTCACCTTCTAACAGAGATGCATCGAACTGACAGGCCTGATCTTGCGTTTTCTTCGCTCGCTTCTGTATTGTCCGTGTATGCGTTGAACCTTCTTCACTCGACGCCATGTTTCTGGTAGCTAAACGCGACTCGACCACACCCGAGCAAAGCCAATAAACCGCACTTCCCAAGGGTGGGGTGGGGGTGGGGACTTGTCACGTCCCCTAGGGAGTGGCTGATAAACTTTTTCACGTTTTACACTATTTGCGAACGAATAGATTTTGTCAACAGAGTCGTTTCATACGCCTGCTCATATCGGGCAATTTTGATGATTAAGGTCACTGGGCATTCAATCTACGCAACAGCTAGCTCGTGTTGATATTCACGTTCATCATGATAAGGCACCGCCCTTTCAGGGGCGTGTCTGCCTGTGATTGGCCAAGAAGAACAAAACTTCTTTTTTCCCTGTCGGTCATTATCAAACAAGCTCAGTTTATGCAAATGCTTTGAAATTCGCGTTGTAGCAACTAGATTTGAGAAGAATATGACATCTTCACCGAACGAATAAAAAAATCGTCGCGATTTTCCGAGAAAAAGCTCTACGTATTTACGCCCTGTTTTATAAACGAAAATTCTCGAGCGGCACAGTTCATGAGAAATAACAGAAAAGCACTTTTATTCTTGTGATTTTTTTCCTTTTATAGAGGGGGTTTGGGATGTCTTTTGTTTTCAAGATATCTTCATTTCGCTGTTGAATTGAATTGAATTCTAGTTACGTAGCAACAGATCTTTTTGCTTAAAAAACTCCAAACTGCCGCAAAACCACAACCGAAATGACACTTGAAAACTAAAAATAAATGCTTAATACTGCTTTTCAATTTTAACGGCGCTGCTTTAGCTATCGTTCAAAATTAAGATATTCGTAGGAAGGGACCGTATTGTACGTTAGATTGGTCAACGTGAGTTTTCCATTTTTTACTTCAGGGGGTGGGGGACGAAACTCTATCGGTTAATAAGCGGCATACATTCAGCTGGTTCTATCTTCGCGATCGAGGTCTACGAAAACCCAGCTAGTGCGAATTCTCCAGGCAAATTCATGGTCACTATGAAAAAGGAAAGCCGTACAACGCATGCCATTTCAGTTATGAAGCGTTTATAAGACAAGTTTCTTTCAAAACTGATACGTGAACAAATTATTTCTGGTGATGAATAATAATTGCCATAACAGCGAGACGCCGAGACCATGCACTTAAGGAGATCAAATAATTTTAGATTCACGACTCCATATTATTACCATCACTTTGCTTAAATTAGTGCAGTGTAATACTTATGGCAGAAAATGTTGCGTGAAAGCTGGGAAGCAGTCTATTTCGTTTGCATTCGTTGGCGATATATCAATTAGCAACACAGAGATCTTGAATAGGCTTCCTCGCACAGAACGAAGCTTTCAGCTGCTATCGCTACCTCAGATCAGTGACCAATAACCTCGACTATAGGAACAAACCCTAGGCTTTGAGGCCTTTGAAAGATACACGAGAGTTCGAGACGTTCCGAAATAAAATGCATTGTAAGCGAGAACTTCGAGAATCGTCGCAAAATAAAGGTTGACTAGATTTCGAGAACAACAGTCGTTCAAGCTACCTTTCGCCTCTCTAGCGAATTCGTCCTTGATCCCTCAATGTCGCATCTGGATAATTAGTGGTTATTATTTTAAATTTCTCTCACTTGTGTCCGTATTTTCTTCTGAAGCTCTTTTATTAAAACAACGATTCAAAACACAAGGGTGACTTTGTTCAAACTGACGCATAGTCTATACCACTGTATGTTCACAGCCGCAGGGCAAACCACAAGTGACATTGCTAACCTAGCTGTTTAAGTTTTGAGAAAAGTGTGCTCGTGTTTTATTCATTCATCTGAATATTTTGTAAAAGTAATTTAAGCCGTAACATTCACAAAAATTCTAAATAACTAGCATGAATCATTTCGAACAATCAGAAAGGAGAGTGCATGTGATGTTGAAAAGAAAGAGTTCTTTTCCTCCCAGGCCAAGGTCAAAATTTTTCTTCTTTCCGGTGACTAACTACGAATAATCGCCTCTATTTAGCCTTTCAACCCTTTACACTATAAAGTCAGTATCGAAATTCTCTATACTCTTCTCTATACATTTCCTTTGATACTGCCTAGGAGAATTTGTTTATCAATCAAAGCTTCAAAGACTGGTGTCTATCACCTTCATTCTTAGCAGTGTTACTGCAACGAGAAATTAGATGCTGGTCACTTTAAGGGTTTGAAGGGTTTATGGTTTAGGGAAAGGAAAATTCAGTGAATAAAAGGTGGGCTAAAATATCATGAAAATTCTTCTTTCTGTTTCGTGTACCTCATTAATACCAGCCACTGTTCTTTTCGTTAGACGTGCTTGTAAAACAAAAGGTAATACAAGAATGCTTTGTCGGCATATCGGACTTCACACTGAAAAACTTCGAAGATAACAAAACATAGCTGTCTCTAGCCGTTTTCGAAGCTCCACGCATATCTGTCTGTTTTCTTTTCTCAAGCGTTCAAGGAAAATGGAACCAAGCGACGAAGCCGTAGGAGCGAGAAGTCTCAATTAACCCTCGTTAATTCGCTACTTATGTGCTCGGTTCCGTTGTTCAAACCCGAACATAAGGTCCAGCAGCGTGCCACCATTTGCGGCTCACAGCGGGAAAAGTCAGCGACGGAAGTTACGCAATGCCATTTGATTTTTTATTCCTTCCGGCTATTTTCAGATCATCTGATGCTTTCATAAACGAGTTTACCTTGAAAGTATAAAACGAAAAAATTGAAATAAAAGATACTTTTTTAGCGAATCGATCACTAATTTAAATTAGTCGAAACACCGCGCCGACTGCCTCTTTGTTTTAATATAAAGAAAAAGCTTGTTTAGGAAAAATTATTCAGTACTTTTGTTTCTTTGAGGCGATGCCGAAATTGATATAATGCGCCTGGCAGGCGTATTTTTTTTTAGCCATTTATTTTTCAGACATGTCAAGCCCGAAGGGCGAGTC